ACGGTTCGGAACAGTCAGGACCAGTTCTGAGCGGTTCGGAACAGTCAGGAACGGTTCGGAACGGTTCAAAACAGTCAGGACCAGTTCTGAACGGTTCGGAACAGTCAGGACCAGTTCTGAGCGGTTCGGAACAGTCAGGAACGGTTCGGAACGGTTCGGAACGGTTCGGAACAGTCAGGAACGGTTCGGAACAGTCAGGAACAGTCAGGAACGGTTCGGAACGGTTCGGAACAGTCAGGAACGGTTCGGAACGGTTCGGAACAGTCAGGAACGGTTCGGAACGGTTCGGAACAGTCAGGAACGGTTCGGAACGGTTCGGAACGGTTCGGAACAGTCAGGAACGGTTCGGAACAGTCAGGAACGGTTCGGAACGGTTCGGAACGGTTCGGAACGGTTCGGAACGGTTCGGAACGGTTCGGAACAGTCAGGAACGGTTCGGAACGGTTCAAAACAGTCAGGACCAGTTCTGAACGGTTCGGAACAGTCAGGACCAGTTCTGAGCGGTTCGGAACAGTCAGGAACGGTTCGGAACAGTTCGGAACAGTCAGGAACAGTCAGGAACGGTTCGGAACGGTTCGGAACAGTCAGGAACGGTTCGGAACGGTTCAAAACAGTCAGGACCAGTTCTGAACGGTTCGGAACAGTCAGGACCAGTTCTGAGCGGTTCGGAACAGTCAGGAACGGTTCGGAACGGTTCGGAACAGTCAGAACCAGTTCGGAACGGTTCAAAACAGTCAGGACCAGTTCTGAACGGTTTGGAACAGTTCTATTAGAACTTTAGAACTATAATTACTTCTTTAGAACTATTCGGGACCGTTTAGAACTGTTCCGAACAATTTGGAACTATTCGGGACCCTTTAGAACTGTTCGGGACCGTTTAGAACTGTTCCGAACCATTTGGAACTATTCGGGACCCTTTAGAACTATTCGGGACCATTTAGAACTGTTCCGAACCATTTGGAACCATTCGGGACCCTTTAGAACTATTCGGGACCATTTAGAACTGTTCCGAACCATTTGGAACTATTCGGGACCCTTTAGAACTGTTCCGAACCATTTGGAACCATTCGGGACCCTTTAGAACTATTCGGGACCATTTAGAACTGTTCCGAACCATTTGGAACTATTCGGGACCCTTTAGAACTATTCGGGACCGTTCAGAACTGTTCCGAACCATTTGGAACTATTTGGAACCCTTAGAACTATTCGGGACCCTTTAGAACTATTCGGGACCATTTAGAACTGTTCCGAACTATTTGGAACCATTCGGGACCCTTTAGAACTGTTCGGGACCGTTTAGAACTGTTCCGAACCATTTGGAATTATTCAGGACCATTTAGAACTATTCGGGACCATTTAGAACTGTTCCGCACCATTTGGAACTATTCGGGACCATTTAGAACTATTCGGGACCATTTAGAACTGTTCCGAACCATTTGGAACTATTCGGGACCCTTTAGAACTATTCGGGACCATTTAGAACTGTTCCGAACCATTTGGAACCATTCGGGACCCTTTAGAACTATTCGGGACCATTTAGAACTGTTCCGAACCATTTGGAACTATTCGGGACCCTTTAGAACTGTTCCGAACCATTTGGAACCATTCGGGACCCTTTAGAACTATTCGGGACCATTTAGAACTGTTCCGAACCATTTGGAACTATTCGGGACCCTTTAGAACTATTCGGGACCGTTCAGAACTGTTCCGAACCATTTGGAACTATTTGGAACCCTTAGAACTATTCGGGACCCTTTAGAACTATTCGGGACCATTTAGAACTGTTCCGAACTATTTGGAACCATTCGGGACCCTTTAGAACTGTTCGGGACCGTTTAGAACTGTTCCGAACCATTTGGAATTATTCAGGACCATTTAGAACTATTCGGGACCATTTAGAACTGTTCCGCACCATTTGGAACTATTCGGGACCATTTAGAACTATTCGGGACCATTTAGAACTGTTCCGAACTATTTGGAACCATTCGGGACCCTTTAGAACTGTTCGGGACCGTTTATAACTGTTCCGAACCATTTGGAATTATTCAGGACCATTTAGAACTATTCGGGACCATTTAGAACTGTTCCGCACCATTTGGAACTATTCGGGACCATTTAGAACTATTCGGGACCATTTAGAACTGTTCCGAACTATTTGGAACTATTCGGGACCATTTAGAACTATTCGGGACCATTTAGAACTATTCGGGACCATTTAGAACTATTCGGGACCATTTAGAACTGTTCCGAACTATTTGGAACTATTCGGGACCATTTAGAACTATTCGGGACCATTTAGAACTGTTCCGAACCATTTGGAACTATTTGGAACCCTTAGAACTATTCGGGACCCTTTAGAACTATTCGGGACTATTTAGAACTGTTCCGAACTATTTGGAACTATTCGGGACCGTTTAGAACTCTTCGAAACCGTTCAGATTTGTCACTAGTTATAAATTGAAATTCCACCCCTATCACCCCCAATGGGTTGGTTACATTACCGATTTTCAAAAAAAAACAGTCCCTTTTCGAATTATATATACATATCTTATATATACTAAAACCCCAGGCGACATCCCATCATTGGCGAGATTTATTCTTTTTGAATTATTCGGGGACGGAGAGGGGTGTAGGAAGATGAAAACGGACCCGCTGATTACGAAAATGACCTTCTTTTCCCCGACTAAATTCGTTTTCGCTCGCAATCGCGATTTGAAAATGAAAATTGTCGGCCATGTTGAAATTTTTTGAAGTGTACGTAATTTTGTGTCATTTTTCGTACTTTCGCGTGGATCCGAATTTTGCCGAACCTTCACTCGGCGAACCGATCTCCGAGAAATTTTGAAATTACTTGAGTAAATGTAAGTAAATGAATAAAAAATCGTTTCTACGAGCGTTTTATTGAATAATTTGTAAAAATAAACGAGAATAAATAACCAGCTAAAAAATTTTCGTCGAGAAATTCGGAAATGTCAACAGTGTCATTTGAAACTGCCGACGGGACGGGTCGCTTGCGCTTCGATCCGCCTAATTTCGCTTTTTTAATGGATTTTCAGCGTTAAATTCAAGGTAAGTGAGCTTATTTGACGATTTAATACCTCTACAAACAATCTCCTACGATATTTAAATGGTCCCGAATAAGAAATAACCCATTTAAAAATTGCAAGGTTAAGTTGAATAAAGCCGTTTATTAAGCAGATTATTTTACTTTTTAGAGGAGGTGCAGCCTTTATTTGACCAAAAATAACCAACTGAAGATGAAAACAAGGTCCCAGTAAGCATATTGTGCCAAATTCCCTTGATAATTGGTCAATATTTGGATTCGAAGAATGGCCTACGTAGAAAATCCTACCTCAATACATGGTGCTACATTTAGAGGAATACCACTTTTTTGGTGTAAGAACCGTTTGTAAAGTATAGATCTGCCGAAAGAAGACTAAATAGTGGTCATTTTAAAGAAAAAAACGATAAAAATCGGTCAAGAATGAACGAAGAAGATTCATAGGCCTTTTACCATTCGGGTGAGTGTCTACATAAACCTTACGATACCTACGTAAATTTAAGTAAATGAATAAAAAATCGTTTCAGCAACCTTTTTTGTTGCATAATCTGTAAAAATAAACAAAATTAAGTTAAATAATCCGTTTAAAATTCGTCTAGAAATTTGGAAATGGAAAATGCCAAAACTGTCAAGTGTCAACAGTGTCATTTGAAACTACCGTCGGAAAAGATACTTGCGCTTCGATCCGTTTAATTTCGCATTTTTAATGGATTTTCAGCGATAAATTCAAGGTAAGTGAGCTTATTTGACGATATTAATACCTTTACAAACAATCTACAATATTTAAATGGTCCCGTACAAGAAATAACCCATTTAAAACATTGTAGGTTAAGTTTCATAAAGCCGCTTTTCAACCAAATTATTTTACTTTTTAGAAGACCTGCAGCCTATATTTCACGATTATTACCAAACTGATGTTGAAAAGAAGGTCCCAGTAAGCATATTGTGGTAAATTCCGTCGATTATTAGTCGATATTTGGATTCGAAGATGGCCTACGTAGAAAATCCTACCTCAATAAATGGTGCTACATTTGGAGGAATACCACTTTTTGGGTGTAAATACAGTTTCCAGAGTATGGAAAAGCCGAAAGAGGACTAAGTAAGCGTCGTTTTAAAGAAAAAATGTTAAAAATCGGTCAAGAAATAACGGAGAAATGAAAACTAACATTTTTTCCTTCGTTCGAAGAACTACGTGGGTTACTTTTATTCAAAAGTATAAGCTGCTTAAATCGTAAGTACTTGATAAAATGTTCTATTAGCACAAAATATCATTCGATTAAGATTGTTTTATACGAAAATCGTAAAAATTTATCGATATTTAACAAAGTATCGAATGATTTTTTGTTACCCGTAGAATAAAAAGGAACTTTTATTACTTATAATTTCACCTTATTTTGCAGGATTGACACTGAAAAATAGGAAGTAAATGACTACTAGAAACGTAAAACAAACCACCAACAACAATTAGGACAATATTTTGGATTTTTTCTGCGATTTTTACCATTCTTCGAAACATCTTTTACTTCGATCGGAGTATCTTCGGGTACCAAAATAATGTGTTTAAAACGTAAGTACTTACTAATATTATGTTAACAGGACAAAATATCATTCGAATACATTTATTTAAAACAGAAATCATTAAAATTGGTTGAAAAATAACTTGGTAACGAATGATTTTTTGTTATCAGTAAAATTAAAAAGGGTAATTTAGAGTTTCATTGTATTATTTACCGTTTTCTACCTTTTATCAGAATGCTTTCACCTTTAAAATGAATACTAAAAATGTAAGAATTGAATTTTCTATGAGAATGAACCCATTTTTAATGTTTTCTTTTTTTTTCAGGATTATAAAGCTGTTTCAAGACTTTCGAGAGAGTATTAGAACGGGAAAAGATTATCCATAAAGCTAATTTGGACAATTTGAAGAGTTTCTTTGGAATTTCGAACTTTTTCTTCCGTTTTTAAAACTACTTTACCTTCAAAATGAATAATGAAAAGGTAAGAATTAAATTTTCTAGAAAATGAACCTTTTTTAATGATTTTTTGTTCTAATTTTCAGGTTTATGAAGCTGTTTCAAGACTTTCGAGAGAGTATTACAACGGGAAAAGATTATCCATAAAGCTAATTTGGACAATTTGAAGAGTTTCTTGGAATTTCGAACTATTTCTTCCGTTTTATAAACAACTTTGTCTTCAAAATGAATGCTGAAAAGGTAAGAATTAAATTTTCTATTAAAATGAACCTTTTTTAATAATTTTTGTTCTATTTTTCAGGTTTATGAAGCTGTTTCAAGACTCGAGAGAGTATTAGAACGGGAAAAGATTATCCATATAGCTAATTTGGACAATTTGAAGAGTTTCTTTGGAATTTCGACCATTTTCTTCTGTTTTCAAGACTATTATATCTTCAAAATGAATACTAAAAAGGTAAGAATTGAATTTTCTATAAGAATAAACCCATTTTTAATGATTTTTATTCTATTTTTCAGGATTATTCAGCTGTTTCAAGCCTTATGAGAGAGGATTAGAACTCGATATGACTAGCAATACAGTCAATTTGGATAATTTGGAGAGTTTCCTTGGAATTTCGACCATTTTCTTCCGTTTTCAAGACTATTATATCTTCAAAATGAATACTAAAAAGGTAAGAATTGAATTTTCTATAAGAATAAACCCATTTTTAATGATTTTTATTCTATTTTTCAGGATTATTCAGCTGTTTTAAGCCTTATGAGAGAGGATTAGAACTCGATATGACTAACAATACAGTCAATTTGGATAATTTGAATAGTTTCCTTGGAAATTTGACAGTTTTCTTCCGTTTTCAAGACTATTATGTCATCAAAATGAATACAAAAAAGGTAAGAATTGAATTTTCCATGAGATTGAACCCTTTTTAATGTTTTTTTTTTCTATTTTTCAGGATTATTCAGCTGTTTTAAGCCTTATGAGAGAGGATTAGAACTCGATATGACTAACAATACAGTCAATTTGGATAATTTGAATAGTTTCCTTGGAAATTTGACAGTTTTCTTCCGTTTTCAAGACTATTATGTCTTCAAAATGAATACTAAAAAGGTAAGAATTGAATTTTCCATGAGATTGAACCCTTTTTAATGTTTTTTTTTCTATTTTTCAGGATTATTCAGCTGTTTTAAGCCTTATGAGAGAGGATTAGAACTCGATATGACTAACAATACAGTCAATTTGGATAATTTGAATAGTTTCCTTGGAATTTTGACCGTTTTCTTCCGTTTTCAAGACTATTATGTCTTCATAATGAATACTGAAAAGGTAAGAACTGAATTTTCTATAAGAATAAACCCATTTTTAATGATTTTTATTCTATTTTTCAGGATTATTCAGCTGTTTCAAGTCTTATGAGAGAGGATTAGAACTCGATATGACTAGCAATACAGTCAATTTGGATAATTTGGAGAGTTTCCTTGGAATTTCGACCATTTTCTTCCGTTTTCAAGACTATTATATCTTCAAAATGAATACTAAAAAGGTAAGAATTGAATTTTCTATAAGAATAAACCCATTTTTAATGATTTTTATTCTATTTTTCAGGATTATTCAGCTGTTTCAAGTCTTATGAGAGAGGATTAGAACTCGATATGACTAGCAAAACAGTCAATTTGGATAATTTGGAGAGTTTCCTTTGAATTTCGACCATTTTCTTCCGTTTTCAAGACTATTATATCTTCAAAATGAATACTAAAAAGGTAAGAATTGAATTTTCTATAAGAATAAACCCATTTTTAATGTTTTTTTTCTTCTATTTTTCAGGATTATTCAGCTGTTTCAAGCCTTATGAGAGAGGATTCGAACTCGATGTGACTAGCAATACAGTCAATTTGGATAATTTGGAGAGTTTCCTTGAAATTTTGACCGTTTTCTTCCATTTTCAAGACCATTACGTCTTCAAAATGAATACTAAAAAGGTAAGAATTGAATTTTCTATAAGAATAAACCCATTTTTAATGATTTTTATTCTATTTTTCAGGATTATAATGCTGTTTCAAGCCTTATGAGAGAGGATTAGAACTCGATATGACTAGCAAAACAGTCAATTTGGATAATTTGGAGAGTTTCCTTGGAATTTTGACCGTTTTCTTCCATTTTCAAGACCATTACGTCTTCAAAATGAATACTAAAAAGGTAAGAATTGAATTTTCTATTAGAATAAATCCATTTTTAATGATTCTTTTTCTATTTTTCAGGATTATAATGCTGTATCAACCCTTATGAGAGAGGATTAGAACTCGATATGACTAGCAATACAGTCAATTTGGATAATTTGGAGAGCTTCTTTGGAATTTTGACAGTTTTCTTTCGTTTTCAAGACTATTATGTCATCAAAATGAATACTAAAAAGGTAAGAATTGAATTTTCTATAAGAATGAACCCATTTTTAATGATTTTTATTCTATATTTCAGGACTATTCAGCTGTTTCAAGCCTTTTGGGAGAGGATTCGAACTCGATATGACTAGCAATATAGTCAATTTGGATAATTTGGAGAGTTTCCTTTGAATTTCGACCGTTTTCATCCGTTTTCAAGACTATTATGTCTTCAAAATGAATACTAAAAAGGTAAGAATTGAATTTTCTATAAGAATAAACCCATTTTTAATGTTTTTTTTCTTCTATTTTTCAGGATTATTCAGCTGTTTCAAGCCTTATGAGAGAGGATTAGAACTCGATATGACTAGCAATACAGTCAATTTGGATAATTTGGAGAGCTTCTTTGGAATTTTGACAGTTTTCTTTCGTTTTCAAGACTATTATGTCATCAAAATGAATACTAAAAAGGTAAGAATTGAATTTTCCATGAGATTGAACCCTTTTTAATGTTTTTTTTTTTCTATTTTTCAGGATTATTCAGCTGTTTTAAGCCTTATGAGAGAGGATTAGAACTCGATATGACTAATAATACAGTCAATATGGATAATTTGAAGAGTTTCTTTGGAATTTTGACAGTTTTCTTCCGTTTTCAAGACTATTATGTCATCAAAATGAATACTAAAAAGGTAAGAATTGAATTTTCTTCGAGAATGAACCTTTTTTTAATGTTTTTTTTTTCTATTTTTCAGGATTATAAAGCTGTTTCAAGCCTTATAAGAGAGGATTTGAACTCGATATGACTAGCAATACAGTCAATATGGATAATTTGAAGAGTTTCCTTGGAATTTTGACAGTTTTCTTCCGTTTTCAAGACTATTATGTCTTCAAAATGAATACAAAAAAGGTAAGAATTGAATTTTCTATAAGAATGAACCCCTTTTTAATGTTTTTTTTTCTATTTTTCAGGATTATTCAGCTGTTTTAAGCCTTATGAGAGAGGATTAGAACTCGATATGACTAACAATACAGTCAATTTGGATAATTTGAATAGTTTCCTTGGAAATTTGACAGTTTTCTTCCGTTTTCAAGACTATTATGTCATCAAAATGAATACAAAAAAGGTAAGAATTGAATTTTCTATAAGAATGAACCCCTTTTTAATGTTTTTTTTTCTATTTTTCAGGATTATAAAGCTGTTTTAAGCCTTATGAGAGAGGATTAGAACTCGATATGACTAACAATACAGTCAATTTGGACAATTTGGAGAGTTTCCTTGGCATTTTGAACGTTTTGTTCCGTTTTCAAAACTACTCTGTCCTTAAAATGAATACTGAAAAGGTAAGAATTAAATTTTCTATTAGAATGAATCTTTTTTTAATGATTCTTTTTCTATTTTTTAAGATTATAATGTTGTTTCAAGCCTTATAAGAGAGGATTTTAACATGTGAATCAAGCTAGCACCCCCACCTCGACTAAATTGAAAAAAAAGTAGCCTATAATTAAGAGCTAATTAAAGGCTAATTTGTACCACAAAAATTAAAATTTGTACCACCGCGATATATCGAGAAAAACGGCATTGAAAATGGGGGGTGCTAGCTTGAGTTCAAGGCAGCACCCCCACTTTGTCCGAATTTAAAATCAAATGGATCAAAATATAGAGGATATTAAAGGCTAATTTGTACCACAAAAAGTTTTTCTATATTTTCATTATTAACGTCAAAAAATTAAATAGAAAGCTATGATTGTCGCTGCTCCATAATCTTAGCACCCCCACTTTCGTCAAATCAAAAAGTGAATATACAACATTATGCAACTAATTAAAGGCAAATTTGTACCACATAAGAAATTTTTATAATTTTTAATGTAAATCCGCAAATTAAGTTTAAAACGATTCCTTGAAGAGCCATATGTGTGACGTATGAATGTAAAAAATAATGTAATTGTAAAAGTGAATATACAACATTTTACAACTAATTAAAGGCAAATTTGTACCACCTAAGAAATTTTGATAATTTTTAATGTAAAGCCGCAAATTAAGTTTAAAACAATTCCTTGAAGAGACATGTGTGTGACGTATGAATGTAAAAAATAATGTAATTGTAAAAGTGAATATGCAACATTTTACAACTAATTAAAGGTAAATTTGTACCACATAAGATATTTTTATAATTTTCAATGTAAAGCCGTAAATTAAGTTTAAAAAGATTTCTTGCAGAGACATGTGTATGACTTATGAATGGTAAAAATAATGTAATTGTAAAAATGAATATGCAACATTTTACAACTAATTAAAGACAAATTTGTACCACATTATATTGAAGAAATTTTATGTCCTTGACAAAACATTTTGTGTTTGGGTTGTCCCACCAACTATTCTGCAACAACGACTTGATAGTTTCCACCCACTGTAAAAACGTGCCGGTCTTAAAACGTTACTTTTACCCCATATTGTATTATATTTATAAAACTGAAAAAGTATTATTTTAAAATAATCGAAGTATTTTATGTTCATATTTTTTTGTTTAATTTGTGTTTTCCATTTAGGATTCATACTTATTTTTTTTGTTAAAATAAATTAAATATACCTACAATTTCAGAATTTTTACTAACCCGGCTCCTTTAATAAATCACCCTTGTCGTCATTACATTAATATGTCACACACAAACAATACCCTCTTCAAGCTATCGTTTTAAACTTAATTTGCAGCTTTACATTAAAAATGATAAAAATTTCTTATGTGGTACAAATTTAACTTTAATTAGTTGTAAAATGTTGTATATTCACTTTTACAGTTACATTATTTTTTACATTCATACGTCACACATATGGCTCTTCAAGGAATTGTTTTAAACTTAATTTGCGGCTTTACATTAAAAATTATCAAAATTTCTTAGGTGGTACAAATTTGCCTTTAATTAGTTGTAAAATGTTGTATATTCACTTTTACAATTACATTATTTTTTACATTCATACGTCACACATATGGCTCTTCAAGGAATTGTTTTAAACTTAATTTGCGGCTTTACATTAAAAATTATCAAAATTTCTTAGGTGGTACAAATTTGCCTTTAATTAGTTGTAAAATGTTGTATATTCACTTTTACAATTACATTATTTTTTACATTCATACGTCACACATATGGCTCTTCAAGGAATCGTTTTAAACTTAATTTGCGGATTTACATTAAAAATTATAAAAATTTCTTATGTGGTACAAATTTGCCTTTAATTAGTTGCATAATGTTGTATATTCACTTTTTGATTTGACGAAAGTGGGGGTGCTAAGATTATGGAGCAGCGACAATCATAGCTTTCTATTTAATTTTTTGACGTTAATAATGAAAATATAGAAAAACTTTTTGTGGTACAAATTAGCCTTTAATATCCTCTATATTTTGATCCATTTGATTTTAAATTCGGACAAAGTGGGGGTGCTGCCTTGAACTCAAGCTAGCACCCCCCATTTTCAATGCCGTTTTTCTCGATATATCGCGGTGGTACAAATTTTAATTTTTGTGGTACAAATTAGCCTTTAATTAGCTCTTAATTATAGGCTACTTTTTTTTCAATTTAATCAAGGTGGGGGTGCTAGCTTGATTCCCATGATTTTAACTCGATATGACTAGCAATACAGTCAATTTGGATAATTTGGAGAGTTTTCTTGGAATTTCGACCGTTTTCATCCGTTTTCAAGACTATTATATCTTCAAAATGAATACTAAAAAGGTAAGAATTGAATTTTCTATAAGAATAAACCCATTTTTAATGATTTTTATTCTATTTTTCAGGATTATAAAGCTGTTTCAAGCCTTATAAGAGAGGATTTTAACTCGATATGACTAGCAATACAGTCAATTTGGATAATTTGGATAGTTTTCTTGGAATTTCGACCGTTTTCATCCGTTTTCAAGACTATTATGTCTTCAAAATGAATACTAAAAAGGTAAGAATTGAATTTTCTATAAGAATAAATCCATTTTTAATGATTCTTTTTCTATTTTTCAGGATTATTCAGCTGTTTTAAGCCTTATGAGAGAGGATTAGAACTCGATATGACTAACAATACAGTCAATTTGGATAATTTGAATAGTTTCCTTGGAAATTTGACAGTTTTCTTCCGTTTTCAAGACTATTATGTCATCAAAATGAATACAAAAAAGGTAAGAATTGAATTTTCCATGAGATTGAACCCTTTTTAATGTTTTTTTTTCTATTTTTCAGGATTATTCAGCTGTTTTAAGCCTTATGAGAGAGGATTAGAACTCGATATGACTAACAATACAGTCAATTTGGATAATTTGAATAGTTTCCTTGGAAATTTGACAGTTTTCTTCCGTTTTCAAGACTATTATGTCTTCAAAATGAATACTAAAAAGGTAAGAATTGAATTTTCCATGAGATTGAACCCTTTTTAATGTTTTTTTTTCTATTTTTCAGGATTATTCAGCTGTTTTAAGCCTTATGAGAGAGGATTAGAACTCGATATGACTAACAATACAGTCAATTTGGATAATTTGAATAGTTTCCTTGGAATTTTGACCGTTTTCTTCCGTTTTCAAGACTATTATGTCTTCATAATGAATACTGAAAAGGTAAGAACTGAATTTTCTATGAGAATAAACCCATTTTTAATGATTCTTTTTCTATTTTTCAGGATTATAAAGCTGTTTCAAGTCTTATGAGAGAGGATTAGAACTCGATATGACAAGCAATGCAGTCAATTTGGATAATTTGGAGAGCTTCTTTGGAATTTTGACAGTTTTCTTTCGTTTTCAAGACTATTATGTCATCAAAATGAATACAAAAAAGGTAAGAATTGAATTTTCTATAAGAATGAACCCCTTTTTAATGTTTTTTTTTTCTATTTTTCAGGATTATTCAGCTGTTTTAAGCCTTATGAGAGAGGATTAGAACTCGATATGACTAGCAATACAGTCAATATGGATAATTTGAAGAGTTTCTTTGGCATTTTGAACGTTTTGTTCCGTTTTCAAAACTACTCTGTCCTTAAAATGAATACTGAAAAGGTAAGAATTAAATTTTCTATTAGAATGAATCTTTTTTTAATGATTCTTTTTCTATTTTTTAGGATTATAATGTTGTTTCAAGCCTTATAAGAGAGGATTTTAACTCGATATGACTAGCAATACAGTCAATTTGGATAATTTGGAGAGTTTTCTTGGAATTTCGACCGTTTTCATCCGTTTTCAAGACTATTATGTCTTCAAAATGAATACTGAAAAGGTAAGAATTGAATTTTCTATAAGAATGAACCCATTTTTAATGTTTTTTTATTCTATTTTTCAGGTTTATGAAAGCTGTTTCAAGATTTTCGAGAGACCATTGGAAAGCGAAATGATTATCCATATAGTTAATATGGATAATTTGGAGATTTTCTTGGAATTTCAAACTTTTTATTCCATTTTATAAACAACTTTGCCTTCAAAATGAACGCTGAAAAGGTAAGAATTCAATTTTCTTTAAAAATGAACCCTTTTTTATTAATTTTTTTCTATTTTTCAGGTTTATGAAAGCTGTTTCAAGATTTTCGAGAGACCATTGGAAAGCGAAATGATTATCCATATAGTTAATATGGATAATTTGGAGAGTTTCTTGGAATTTCAAACTGTTTCTTCCATTTTATAAACAACTTTGCCTTCAAAATGAATGCTGAAAAGGTAAGAATTAAATTTTCTGTAAAAATGAACTCTTTTTTATTGATTTTTCTATTTTTTAGGTTTATGAAAGCTGTTTTAAGATTTTCGAGAGACCATTGGAAAGCGAAATGATTATCCATATAGTTAATATGGATAATGTGGATATATATCCGGATTATAAATCGAGATACCTGGAAAACAAGATCGTCGTTCACTACGCCTTTTTAGAAGGATTCCTGTACCAGCAAATGGATAACCTAGTGACCTATTTTCACTTATACATCTGGAGAAAAGGATTTTCGCTTGCTTAGTAAAATGTAATTATTAAATTATCTATATAAAAGAACCATATTATAATGATATTTTTTATTTTTTAGATATTCTGAAATCAACGGATTTTTATAAATCGAGACACCTGGAAAACAAGATCGTCGTTCACTACGCCTTTTTAGAAGGATTCCTGTACCAGCAAATGGATAACCTAGTGACCTATACGAGGGCGAATCAAATATGATCTGAAATTTTGTCTTTAAAAAATTTATTTATAAATATTATTTTGAATACATATAAAGGAATAAATATTTTGAATTTTTCTATGAAATTTCCTCTTTTATTACCACAAATTTCCTACCGAATCGGAAGGAATTTTTTAATCCCGTAATCAAATAATGAATTTGGATAAATTGGAATTGTAGGGTGGTTCTTCTAGAATATTTTACAATGCATTTTGTCCAAGTTGTACGTTTTGTCCACGTGTACATTAACCTCGCTTAGGCTTATCTATAAATCTGATTGTTTTGACCATTTGCTCTGGCATTTCCTTTTTCCATTTTCGGACTCAGCTCGTCATTCTACATTGGAAAACATCTGTCTCGTCTCCGATGTCCGCTAAAGCAAATTTGAGCCCCTTTTTCTCACGCCGTCCTCTCATTTCCACGCATAGGTCTATGGTAATAGCCTGAAATTGAAATGAACTTTAGTAATGATGTTGATGCTTTACTTTTTACTTTAGTTAAGTTGAATTGTATTTCACAATTGCATATTACCATTATTTCGTTTTTCGTTTTCGTTCCCATCTTGCTTAACGTATATGTATTGAAATTCATACACAACATAAATTGACATTGTTGACATACGTCAGTAATGTCAAAATTGTCAAATTCTAATAAAATCAACGAAGGAAAGAGATGAAAAAGAATTATAGCTGAATTGTTCATTATATTGATCCGGAGATGCTACATTTAAAAGAACGCTACTTTTTTGGTGTAAGAACCGTTTGTAAAATATAGATCTGCGAAAGAAGATTCATAGGCCTTTTACCGTTCGGGCCAGTGTCTACATGAACCTTACGATACCTACGTAAATGTAAGTAAATGAATAAAAAATCGTTTCAGCAATCTTTTTTGTTCCATAATCTGTAAAAATAAACAAGATTAAATAACCCGTTTAAAATATCGTCTAGAAATTTGAAAATGGAAAATGCCAAAACTGTCAAGTGTCAACAGTGTCATTTGAAACTATCGTCGGAAAAGACACTTGCGCTTCGATACGCTTAATTTCGTATTTTTACTGAATTTTCAGCGTTAAATTCAAGGTAAGTGAGCTTATTTGACGATTTAATACCTTTACAAACAATCTACGATATTTAAATTGATCCCGTACAAGAAATAACCCATTTAAAACATTGTAGGTTAAGTTTCATAAAGCCGCTTTTTTACCAAATTATTTTACTTTTTAGAAGACCTGCAGCCTACATTTGATAAAAAATAGCTAACTGAAGATGAGAAAAAGGACCCAGTACGAATATTGTGCCAAATTTCCTTGATTATTAGTCAAAATTTGGACTCGAAGATTGGTCTACGTAAACAATCCTACCTCAATACATGGTGTTACATTTAGAGGAACACCACTTTTTGGGTGTAGGAACTATTTCCATAGTATGGATATGTCGAAAGAGAACTAAGTAAGCGTCGTTTTAAAGAGAAAATGATTAAAATCGGCCCAGATATAATGAAAATGAATAAACCAATCATTTTACCTTCGTTCGAAGAACTACTTGGGTTACTTTTTTTCAAATGTATAAGCTGCCTTAATCGTAAGTATTTGATAAAATGCTTTATTAACACAAAATATCATTTGATTAAGATTGTTTTATACGAAAATCGTAAAAATTTATTGATATTTAACAAAGTATCGAATGATTTTTTGTTACTCGTAGAATAAAAAGGAACATTTATTTTTTAATTATAATTTCACCTTATTTTGCAGGATTGACACTGAAAAATAGGAAGTAAATGACTACTAGAAACGTAAAGCAAACCACCAACAACAATTAGCTGTTTCAAGACTTTCGAAAGACTATTGGAAATTGAAAAAAATATCCATATAGTTAATATGGACAATTTGGAAAGTTTTTTGGAATTTCAAACTTTTTTTTCCATTTTATAAACAAATTTGCCTTCAAAATGAATGCTGAAAAGGTAAGAATTAAATTTTCTTTAAAAATGAACCCTTTCTTATTGATTTTTTTCTATTTTTCAGGTTTATGAAAGCTGTTTCAAGATTTTCGAGAGACCATTGGAAAGCGAAATGATTATCCATATAGTTAATATGGATAATTTGGAGAGTTTCTTGGAATTTCAAACTGTTTCTTCCATTTTATAAACAACTTTGCCTTCAAAATGAATGCTGAAAAGGTAAGAATTAAATTTTCTTTAAAAATGAACCCTTTCTTATTGATTTTTTTCTATTTTTCAGGTTTATGAAAGCTGTTTCAAGATTTTCGAGAGACTGAAAATGAATGCTGAAAAGGTAAGAATTAAATTTTCTTTAAAAATGAACCCTTTCTTATTGATTTTTTTCTATTTTTCAGGTTTATGAAAGCTGTTTCAAGATTTTCGAGAGACCATTGGAAAGCGAAATGATTATCCATATAGTTAATATGGATAATTTGGAGAGTTTCTTGGAATTTCAAACTGTTTCTTCCATTTTATAAACAACTTTGCCTTCAAAATGAATGCTGAAAAGGTAAGAATTAAATTTTCTTTAAAAATGAACCCTTTTTTTATTAATTTTTTTCTATTTTTCAGGTTTATGAAAGCTGTTTCAAGATTTTCGAGAGACCATTGGAAAGCGAAATGATTATCCATATAGTTAATATGGATAATGTGGATATATATCCGGATTATAAATCGAGATACCTGGAAAACAAGATCGTCGTTCACTACGCCTTTTTAGAAGGATTCCTGTACCAGCAAATGGATAACCTAGTGACCTATTTTCACTTATACATCTGGAGAAAAGGATTTTCGCTTGCTTAGTAAAATGTAATTATTAAATTATCTATATAAAAGAACCATATTATAATGATATTTTTCATTTTTTAGATATTCTGAAATCAACGGATTTTTATAAATCGAGACACCTGGAAAACAAGATCGTCGTTCACTACGCCTTTTTAGAAGGATTCCTGTACCAGCAAATGGATAACCTAGTGACCTATACGAGGGCGAATCAAATATGATCTGAAATTTTGTCTTTAAAAAATTTATTTATAAATATTATTTTGAATACATATAAAGAAATAAATATTTTGAATTTTTCTATGAAATTTCCTCTTTTATTACCACAAATTTCCTACCGAATCGGAAGGAATTTTTTAATCCCGTAATCAAATAATGAATTTGGATAAATTGGAATTGTAGGGTGGTTCTTCTAGAATATTTTACAATGCATTTTGTCCAAGTTTTCTTGAATGAATGTAGCTGTGCGTGACCAAACGTTGCCATGGAGCAAAATCGCACTTCGAATATGCTTGTATTGTCTTTTTCGTCGATAGTCAAGCTTCAATTCATCAAAAAGTTGACAGAGTACACCCTTAAATTCACGTCATTCATGAAAAAAAAAAAAAAATCTATGAGCTATATGCTTCCTGCAAGAACTTTCCCAGCAAAAAGACGAATCTTGTCTTCTGGCATTCCCGCTCTTCCAGTTTTTCACATTTTTCTTTTTACCAATCGTAGACATGGATCGTTGA